ACAACCACCACCATAATAATAATAATAAAATACAACGGCTGAACACGGTCGTTCCGGTTATTGCACTGCCTCGTACGCGCTCGGTAAGCTGGTTACAGTTTCCTATAACGCCGTAACACAGACCAGGGCTCGCCCCGGCCAAGCACGCGAAGCCGCTGTGAGAACATCGAGTGCCTTTTTATTTTAAGCCCCGAGGGAGGTGGAAGCAGGTAAAGGGCCGCTTTCTCCTGAGAAGGGCAGCTCTGCTTTAGGAAAAAAAGACAGAAGAGTTACTTGTGTAACTTATTTAAGCTAAAAATGGGATGGGGGAAGAACCAAGGCATCTGGCCAGCCCCTTACAGGCAAACACCACGCCTACTTTTCCGTCTCAAAACAGGGCATTTAGTGTAAATAACAATGCTCTGACTTCAGGTAAGCAGACACACAGTAGGTGTCCTGCAGACTGCTGCTCCGGCAGCAAGACACAGCAAAAGCATCACGCTGCCGAAGCTCTCCAGACTGTTCCTCAGCCGTACCGTGCCAGCACATTTTCCCCCAGCTTGTCTCACTAAGCGTAGCATGAAGGAAAGGCTGAAAACGGGGTGGGGAAGCTGAAATGCAGAGCAAGCTGCTTGCACCGCTTCGGCTGTACTTGAACCTTGTGCTGACCTGGCGCCTCTCCTAGCAGAGCCACCTCAGCCACAGCAGCATGGAAACCTCACACTTTTGTAGCAAAGCTTTGTTCCACAATCATTTTAGGCCTGATCTCCACTTTGGACCTACAGGAAGGGAAAGGGGAGGTTCACTCCTCACTGTTCACAGAAATCAGCCTCAGGCTCTGGGATTTAGCTTGTTTTAAGTGGCAATGATCACATTACTAGAACAGCACATGCTGGTGTATGTCTGTAAACAACAGAAGCCAGTCCACTACGTGGTTACATGTGGTACACTGTACAATGCACAAGTTGTATGTACCCTTTTATATCATAACATTAAAACATACTGTTACAAACCTCTTCAGTAGATTGAGGCAATAAAGGAAGCCTTATCTGGGAGAACTGTACCTGCTCAGCTTAGACTCACTGCACTAGACTCAGATGTGTTTGAGTTTGGTACCACTTTCAATTTACAATCTGTGGAATCTTTAAAAAAAAGTAATTATTCACCTTGTTTTCCTTGCTCTAATGGGGGGAAACAGTTTTATAGATAAACAGGGTGTGTGAAATCTCTCAAAACAAGTTCAGTCAGGTAGACTTTATACTCAATGCGGGGGCGGGGGGGGAGGCAGAGAAATAGTTGTACTGAGGTTTGGAAAACCTGCAGATCTACAGTGCTGCACATGCAAAAAGACAACCCAAATGGAAACAACATCAAGGTAGCTACAAACAACAGTAAAAAGGTATCAGATAAGCGTCTGGAGATGGCTACACAGGAAAAGCTATACAAGACATTTCTGGAATTGCAATATACAGAGATTTAAATTTTATTCATACATTTATTATTTACATAAGCTACCTCTTAACTGTAAGAGACTGACCTTAACTCTCTTAGTTTTAAATAAGGTTACTAACCATCACACACAGTAGAACAGAGTTAATACTGTTAGTGTCATTGGTGGCGTGAGCGTGCACCAAGGCAGTGAAAGGCCTAACGATTCTACTTTGGAAAAGTATTCGTTCTTCTGCACATGTGGTTCTTGGTTGCTGCACTTTCAGCTGGAGCAGCTGGTGAGGCTGTATCTGTACAGAACCATACTGTTAATGCCATCACAGACCAGAAAAATGCCCACACATGCAGGTAAGTAAAAAAGTCTTTTTTTATATTAAAAAAAGCATTAATTCTGTTTATTGCACAAAGAAAGGAAGATTTAAACTAAACTAATACTGCAGGGTTATGTATCCCTTTCCTTTGTTCAAGCTGTTTAACAGGCAGACTATCAGTTGTAATTTTGCTGTGTACTAGCCAATAAATTCCAGCAACAAGGTGCAGTAACGCCACATGCCTACACTATTTTGGATGCAGCATGCTAGCTTTCCTGGGAAACAAAGCCATTGCATGCTCATCCCCTGCAGCTGGGAGGAAGAGTAAACCCAGGGAGAATTTGCTAACTCAGTATTTCCTCATGTAGTAAACAAGGTGCATTTTCTATTTCAGCCTCCACCCCATAGGTATGTTACATTCAGATCAACAATTCTTGCCCCAGACATGCAAAAGGCAAAGGGCAAGGATATTATTTTCAGAAGAAGCCTTGGTAAGGGCAGCAGGGCAACCCCAGCCCATACCTTCCTTGCAAAGGTTTCTCCTCCCTCCCACTTTTATTCTTTTCAATACAGCCCAATTAGAGATCCCAGAGTGAAACAGTCAGATGAACAGACACAGCCACAATGCACAGCTACTGGAGAATGAATGACCAGTTTTCCCTTGAGTATACTCTCACCAAGCATGTGACTTTAAAAAAAGCTGAAGAAACCTAATTTTTAAAAATACGTCCGTCATAGCACAATTTAAAACTGTCATTGCCTTTACAACTAATTCAAAAACCGAATTTAATTAAAATGAATTGGCATTTTCCCATGGACAGTCATTAGTTGTAATGACTTTGTTTTGGTATTACAATATGTAATCTCGGAGCAGTCTTCCATTTTACCAGAAGACTGTAAAAGAAAGGTCAGCTTTCTTCAGACATTCAAATAACTATTATGAAGCAAAATTACCAGAAAAAGAGTTTGTTTACGTAAGTAAGAGGTGAAGGGTACATATGAGATAAATAGCTTATAACTTGGGGTATTTGCACTGCAGTGGAACAGTAGACAAACCCCTTTAGGTAAAACATGGAAGCTTTGCTCCTGTCAATGTAAACGTTTTGAGTGTTGCAAGAAACTAATACAGATAGATGCTCGTAGCTTCTAAACACTTTCTAGCCTGGAGCCTCTGCTTTCTCTTTCCTCTCCAACCGCACAGTAATTGGTGCCAATCAATAAGTGATTGGGACAGTTATGTATGGACTGAGGGCCACCTAGTACCATCAGTTAATGGGAGAAGTTTTTACTTTGCTGAGTAAAGACTGTCATGACTAACTCCTAGCAACACAGATGCTACCTGGAACACACAAGATGCTTTTCTTTGATTGGTGTTTGTGTGGGATTGGCAAAAATCCCCTTCAGTTCAAGGGTGTGGATTTTCTATCTTACTTGCACAACTCCATAATAAAAGCTGCAGCAGGGTAACTGGCATCGATGGGGTGTACCAGGGGAGATTTCTCTGGCCACTATTCAAGATGGAACATCCCCAAGGTCTCACCTCTATAAATAATCTTCTGGTTGCTATTACCTGTCCCACTCACGTTAGCCACAAAGAGCTACATCTGAAGAAGCCATCTGCAGAGTTAGGGGTTCAGAATTCTCCCACAATTAAAAATTCTTCTGTGCTTCCTTTTCAAGTAGAGTCATCCAACCCTTTATTTGGGTGCTCAGAGCTTGACTTGCAGAGCCTGTCCATGATCCCCTGCAGCATAGGCTGAACAATCCCCAAGAGAGGACGCTGGGAGGAGTCTCCATCCCAGCAGGCTTCCATCAGCTGCCAGCATTCCTCATCAAACACCGGAAGACGCTCTGGGCGAACTCCTGGAAAATGGAGAGGGACCTGGTTACCATCAGTACACCTCAAATCTGAGAGAAACTTTGTCTGATGCTCATTGCTTTGGTGCAGGCTGAAGTGACCAGAGTGGACTGTCTGGGATCTAATGCTCCTGAGAAAAGCTTACATTTCAGCAATGCTGCTGAGACATCTTTGGGATCGTTGCTGAAGTCGCTCAGGAGATCACACACACTCCCAGAGGATGGCCAAGACATTTAGTTTCACTGGAGCCTCTTTACAACTATTTGTGAGCAAAATGAATACCCTCCTCTAAGAAAACAAGAAACCCCGATAATGGTACCTTTGGGAGCAAGTTCAACATGAGAACAACAGGGAGTGCAGCCTTCTGACCAAATACAAGACTCACTCATCTGAGTTAATCTTTTTCACATGAGGAGGGGAGAGATTATATGGACAGGAACTAAGGACACATAGTAGTAAAGCATTCTGATACCATGACGCAGCATGAAAGATTAAGCTACCACTAAACACAGTACTACACTAAACCTACAGAGGCAGAAGAGTAAGTTTGTTTTGGGGAAAAACTATCAGTGTGTTTTATTCAACATCCAGCCCATCAGCAACAACTTTCTCAGCATGCTGCATATTAAGCACTTGACTGTACAGATCCCCATGGCCTCCAGAAATTGCAAGGGATTAAACATTCTTTAGGGGATCATGCCTGGCTGGTTCTGAGATCTGGTTTACATCATAAGTGTTGTACTACTACACATGGTTTAAGCGACGGGCTGGCACAGCTCCTACGACACTATGGCAAGGAGGTGGTTAACGGTAAGCCTTTTTCTATCCCTGCTAATTTTAGTTAGATTTTCAGTAGAATGTGTCCAAGTTTAACTAGATAAATGTTACTCTTTAGAGTGTCAATGAAGCAATACAACTTGTATTTTTACCTTTTAGTTACAAGACTGCAAAAATGGCTTTCCTCACCTCCTCTCAAATTTTACTCAAGCACAAAGTATCAACCAACAGAGTTCAAATAAGCCATTTATACCTCTTCTCACATTGTTCCAAAGGTGATCTTTGCTTGCACATCTTTCAAAAGCCTCTGGTAACTTCACATGTCCCGAACAAATGTACCAAAACAGAATGCCAAATGCATAAACGTCCACTGAATTATCGTACTTTCCTGTGACAAAAATACATTTGATCAGCAGGGCAAACAACATCTTCGTCACTGGAAACTGAGCAGTCTGAGAACTAATTTCAGTGTTCCACTTCCTCAAATTAAAACTACAACTTAATTGCCAGAAGGTAATACTTGTATGGAGCCTAGTAGCGTAACAGGCATCATTGCCAAAGGTGGAAGGATAAAAATTAAGACCTTCCATTCTCAGAGGATTTATACACTTAACCTGTACCAGCAGTTCCCAAGCTGAGAGGTTCATGGACCACTGCAGGTACAGATGCTCAGGTGTATTTTGGAGACTTAAACACCAACATCTGAAAGAATATCAGTTGAGTTTGGCTCTGTTGCTCAGGAGTCTGGCGGAGCTAACATCAGCCTCTCAGTCCGGAAGTTTGGCAATTACTCATTTATAGCAAGTTCACCCACTGAATAAGAAAAGATTGGGCACAGTAAGTGCACAAGGGGCTAAGCCAATGCTCACCTCTAATATCAAGGTCTAGCCTGCTAGTCATAACTGTTAGTAGTGAGAACCACCCGAACAATATTTTCTAAATTAAACACAAATAAGGTTGCTTCAATTTGACTGCAATCTTGTCAAAGTGGGGACAGCACCTCAGATAGACCAAAAGGATTCTGGTATGTGTGGTATGGACCTCTAAGTGCTACTGTAAGACGTTTGCTCCAGAAAAAAAGGCTTAGAGAGAATGCCTGCCAGAAGCACAATGCATAGTGAATTTCTGGTATGTGTGGTATGGACCTCTAAGTGCTACTGTAAGACGTTTGCTCCAGAAAAAAAGGCTTAGAGAGAATGCCTGCCAGAAGCACAATGCATAGTGAATTTGAACACACTCCACATGTTAGTAACAGCTTGGAAATTCCTTATGTATACAAAAACCAGGGGACCCCTTCTGAAGTATTTGTCTATGAAAGCCAAAATATTTCCAGCTTCCTAATAACCAATAATTTAATTTTCCAATTGCAAGAGTACTAATCATTTCAGCAAAGCTTATGAATCCCACATAGTAAAACAGATTTAAGACCGAGACTTAAAATAAAAGAAAAAAATATATATACTATGCGTTGTAAGCAGGTACTCCTCTGATTTATTTTAATTATTTTTCCCTCCTAAGCAAGTTGAGATATTAATTCAAAGTAATGGCCTTCAGAATTCAAGGCAGAGACAGTAGTGAACTCAGTCAACAAGCATACCTGTAAAAAGCTCAGGGGCCATATGAATGGGTGTGCCTACAATACTGCCAGACATCATGGCTTCTGGTTTGCAGAACCCCAAGTCAGTGATTTTGGCTCGATTCTTTTTGTCAAGCTGTGGAAGAATTCATACACAGGCAGCTGATAACTATGCTTCCCAGTTTGAGTATTGCATTTTAGTATTAAGGTTTTAAACTCTGTTTATGTTCAAAGGGTTGGGCATTTGTTCTTAAGTAAGCTTCTCCGATTACTTGGCTGCTCTTGGACATTTACCTAGTTAAGCTCAGTAACAAGACACACCTTCACTTGTCTTCTACATAGAGGGTGTGGTTGGGGTTTAGTAGAACTGGGAACTAGAAGTCTTACTTGTAGCTCAAGCTCTCTACCTTCGAGAGAAGTCACTCTACTGCTCCCTTTCCCCTAGGCTTTCTGCCCGAAAATGAGTTACGGAAACCTCACTGCAAGGCTAGCTGTGGTTAGCAATACCACAAGTTAAAAGATCCTGTATGAAAAAAGCTATTACTTCACTTATCTTAAGCTTTTCCCTCCCACTAAAAGGGCCTCGTAAGACTTCAGGATTAGCCAGGTACAAACGTTTTCCTTACCAAGACATTTTTAAGTTTGATATCCCGGTGCACAAGTCCCTGACTGTGAAGATAACGGATTCCTTCAACTACATCCAAGGCAATCTGTAATCGTGTTTCTAATTCTAGCCCAGCCTGAAGAATAAACAAACACAGATTTAATTCCTACAAGTCAAAGTTACTTTTGCTTCCTCTTATTTGCCAAAAACACTGAAAACTAAGTAATTCTAGCTTTGTTTTTCAGATTAATAAATTTTTAAAAATGTATATATAAAAAAGTATATGCACATACACACACAGATTGTTGTCACCTTTAGTCCTGTATAGAGGTCTCTGTGCAACCGTTCCATTATCAGTAAGACTGCAATGCTGGAGCCTCCTCCATAGCCATAATCTATCACAGAACCATGGAGATGTACGAGCCGCTCATGTGTCTGCAGCGACCTAGAGAAAGTTCAGCATAGAGACTTGGTCATTTTTATATCCTTCCCTCCACACCAGGCCAAGCTTCACCTTGTAAAGGAAAAAATACCCAATAGCTGCAGTTTTAGTACAATAGTAAGATACACCTATACCACGTGCCATACAGTAAAAATTCATAGCACCACAGTTCTGAGGACTGTAACAATATACAGCTGTCTGATCCAATTAAACTCAAGAAAGACTATAAAAGTTATAGTATCAAAGAAATACTGTATTATTTCAGCTGTCTGTACTGCAGCACCTGCCTGCAGCTGTTTACTGAAAAACTCTGTTTTTGCAGCATAGATACATCATTTTCTTTTGTCATTTCAGAGAGGACAAAGACAAATTGGGAAAGGAGGGATGATTCAACACCAAGATAAGGGGAAAAAAACTATTTGCTGCCATACTCTATTTTTTCTAGTTTACTCTGCAAAATGGCAAACATTTGAACAGCGTAGACAACGGAGAATCAGATTAATACCGGAAGGAGCACATCTGCCTACCATTCTGTGCCTGTTACATTTTTGCAGTGGCACTGGCAAGCTGTCTTGCCTTTGCTAGAAATGGGAGCTTAGCACTTCATGAGGTCAAGTTACTGATTGCAGAGTAGAACTATAGCAAGCAAGGTTCTACCTATGCAAAAGTAAATAGCATTTGTTTTTAGCAGTGAAGTTAAGGAGAGTCCATGTGGAATGAGAAAAGCACTTACAATACACACCTCATATAGTGAAACTCAAGTGCAAGGTCATTCCAGTGCTTCTCATCTGGAGGAACAACGGATTTCAGTGCACATGGGAAATGCCCTCCCCAGCTGTCACACAGATAGACCACGCCATATTGTCCTCGGCCCAGCTCACGGCCCAACTTTGGTTTGCCTGTAAGGCACAACATCCACCTAGTCAGACGTTAAGACATGTTTATCTCTTCCTGTACACCATCAGGCTGGCAGCCCAGAGCTTTTTATGGACCAGCAGCTGCCCAATTCAAGTACTCTGTATGTGTCAGATGGAGGCTCACTGAAGTAGTTGAGTGAAAAGCAAAAACACTCGTCCTACTCCTTTACACCCACTGACTGCTTCAGAAGGAGGGAGCAGAAGGTAATACGGAGAACATCAAGCATAATGCTTACCATGTAACAGCACATCCTGGAGGGACCTGCTCTCCAGCGAGAGTCGTGCTAGCCGAGGAGCATGATCTTTCCGCACCTTCAGCCACAGGTCTTCTGTTTTCTCCAGCCTGCCAGAATGGCCATCTTCTAACTACAAGAGATATCACACTGTAATCCTGCCTGGTTTGAAGCCCTAGTGTAATGAGGTTGACAGCCCTTGCACAACTGAGTAGAGATCCTACACTCACTTCAGCTCTGCCACCTTTACCTACAGAACAGCAGCATTAACTGCACGAGCTGCTCTTTTCGCTATCTCTGCAATTAAAAATCCTCTTTGCGTAAGTGGCAATGAACAAAACAAGACCTCCTTCTTAACAGGTCCATACACTCACCTGTCGTAGAGAAGCTGCAAAAGCCTCATGGGAACTGTTTAGCCTGGTCCGGAACTGGCTGCAAATGCTCTTGGCTAACTTGGAGGCACTGAGGCTCTCGATAGCATCCTGAGCAACTTTCCTCTTCCAGTCACTGGTGATGGCAGGTGGGCTGACCCATGTAATCCGCTGGATTATCTAGTAAAACAGGAAACAGAATTAAGGCACTAGCACAAAAAAAGCAAAGGGTCGGTCAATTTACTCAGACTGCTTAGATACCTTGTAATAATGCAGTCATCTGCACATAGAATGGGGCTAAATAACTACCTTAGAGTAACTACTAATAATTTAGAGGTATTAATCACAATGTTGTTGTACACACATAGTAAGAAAGAGATTTGATTTTTCTGAATATCTGCTCAGTTCGTTCCTACAAGCCATCCATCCTTTCACGTCTGACCAAGAACATACCTAGCTAGACAGCCACCACTTGGAAAACCACACAGTTGTGGTGCAGCTTGTAGGCTGAAAGAACAGGTAGCATAAGTAGTAACCCAGGGAGTCCGGAAGAGAGGTGTTCCTAAACTGGTGAAAGCTACAGTGAAGCAGCTTTTTGCTGGACATACGTATTGTCAAGGTGCGGAAATCCTAGGTGTCAGTATGCACCACTTCTCTTAAATTGCTGGATGATTAAGATGCCCTGCCCCACCCTTTATTAGAAGCCACAAAAATCCAGCTGCTGCACACCCAGTCTGGATCCTTCTCCCAGGCTGAAGGAGAAATCTGAAGGTTTGTTACCACTCAGTCCGCACTTGCGCCTATTTGGGAAAAACTCATACTCCTCTCACCCATCCATACAAGGAATCTCAAGAGGGAGAAGGCAGTAAAGGTCATCAACAGCTCAGAGCAGGAACTTCAGAAAGATGAATGCTTTAACAGACAGAAATTTAAAACAAAGACCTGAGGAAATCTGGTCTGCTCTGGAGGGAGAAGAGTGAATTGACCTGAATCAAGATACATTGCTAAACAAACAAAAAACACACAAGAAACCCCCAAACCCAAATAAACAACCAGTTACCCAAAACAACCAGCAAGAGTTTCAAAATGTTGATCATCAATCCTTTGCTGTTTCAGAACAGAAAGAAAACACTAAAGAGGTATTTGTTTTAAATTAAATATTGGCATCCCCAGGAATAAACTATACACACAGCCTTAGTGCTGACTGGAGAAGCAATGGCTTTCCAATGCATGTGCCCAGAGTCAAAATTTAGAGAGCTGCTGTGAGCTCTCACATTATTCTTTGCTCCAAACACATTTCCCTATACAGTGACACATACTAGAAATAAGTAATGAAGATGCCCATACCTGTTTGATCTGTTCCCACAGCATCCTGGTTACTGTTGAGCCAGAGTGGAAAGTGACTTCAACATGATAGGCAGCATTTAGTATCTGGAAAGCAGGGGAAAGATGAAAGTATGGGAACTCCACAAGCTATAGTTGCTACAAAATTTGCTAGGCCCTCTGAAAATGACAAAATGGACAGCGTATGGGATATTCCATGATTCACTTGGTTCCATTAATCTACTGTATTAAGCTCATAGGTGTTGCTAGGCTGTAATCTGACTACTATATAGATTTAGGAAAGGTAAGTACTAGGCCTTTAAGTGACTGTTCTCCAGTTTTAGCACGTCCCTTAATGACACCAGACCCACATATACCCACATATACTCCAGAGCTGTGTTCCTCTAATTTCACTGAGTATCTCAGTCTCCTACCACCCTTGCTGGATCAGAATAAAGACACCTATTAAGAATATTCTAGACAGCCATTTAAGCCACCATACCTGTTTGAGATAATTGCTTGTGATGTGTACAGAAACATCCTTTGACTTCTCCAAACTCCTTGCAGTATGTACTGAAACCTCCCAAGACTCCTCCAGGCTCTTCAGACATCTCTCCAGAGTCCCTACAAAGCTCTCTCGCAGATAGTCCACTGAACTAATTAACTTGTTGGCAACTGCTTGGTTTAATCGAGAAATAATCAGTTCCTGAATTTGCTTAATACAACACTTTATGTCCTTGGAACTAACAGGTTCCCCATTCTCAGGAATGATGATATCTGCACAAGAGAAAAGAAAGAGCCATCTTTGGTACTCAACGTATCACTGTTGCAACAACGGTTACAGAGAGCTGCTTTGAGTGTTTTGCAAAGGAGCTACAGCACAGCACCAGTCCAGGCAGCATCTGCTCCAAATGCTCTTTCATTATTTTGCTCCTTCAGAAGTTTATTACTTTAGACCCAGATAAACATAAATTGAAGCCAACAGCATTCTTAAGTCATACAAAAAACCCTCATGAGCAACAGAAGAACATATATACTTAGTATTGCAAAGGATTAAATTTTTGCCGGTCTGCATGTCTAATGCTACAAATGCCAGTTTTACATGAGGTCCCAAACCCAATCCTACAGATCTTGAGTAATTTGGTATTCTGTTATACAAAGTACTAAAGCATTAGAGAGCCCCAGGAATGCACAGCTGGCTACTCCAGTCTCAGGGAAACTAAAAAATACCACATCTGACCAAGGCAGAAAATATTCTGATGTTTGCTTCCATTCCCTGGTGTTTGAATTCACAGGATACTCAACTAACACCCGACGGACTCCATACAAGCATTCTGTAGCTACTACAGGTTTACAGTGGTACAGCGATGACAAGTCAACTATCACCTCAAAAATCAAAGTGCAGAGCACAAAGCTGTCTTTCTATCTGAAGAATTACAGATCAGGAAATTCTTCCAGGCCACACTGCAATCCATAAGCATTACTCGATGTTGAGCGTTACGAATAAAATGGTGTAACAGCCACGGCAGTTACATGAAGTTTTTTTCCTGGTACCTTGAAAAGGTTGATTAGCACTTGGTATTTTTAAACAAACACTGAGCAATCACTGCTCACACACTGTAACCACTCTGAGCAATACTACATTACTACCAGGAGCTGAAAACCTTGTCTCTGGATTTTGGCCAACAGTCTAGCCTACTTAAAACAAATCCAGCGATCGGCAGATGGCATTAGCTCCTCAAAATAACACCTTCCTTCTTTTAGGCTATTACTTTAAATACTGATAGCCAACAAGATGCTACATTCTAAATGATACTTGTTGTGCAAATAAACATATACACATTTACTGCAGGTGTTTTATCTTGTGCTGCCCCTACACATACTCCTGCGTACACAAACTCCTGAACTCAGGCACTACAGTGCTCCAACTCTTTTACAGAGTGGGACAAACAGAATACAGGAATTATTACCTGTCCCGATAATGGAGCAATAGCAGCCCTAAACAGGTAGAATTAACACACTCTCTATACTGTCAGCATATGCTAGTTTGCTGGGGTTTTTTGCAGCATGCAAATAGATCATGTTGCAATTAAAACAAGCTCTTTACGAGGACATTTTGTATGGGCATTACAAACCAAGCATTTCAAGTAACAGGCAGGATCTTATCCGTTTCCCACCTGCAGAAGCAAAACGATCCAGATCCTAACCTGCAGGTTTAAACATAATCCATAATTTCTCCTCTTCATCCCAGAAGATAACAATCCAGTTTGAAATTGGGAGGAAGTCAGTCAAGACAAACAAAATAGTCTAGAGTTTTGGACTCTCTCATGCCTCAGAAGAGCACTCAATTCACAAAAAATAATTTCTTCTAAACCAATAGCCTAGAGTTATTTCTGATTTTATTTTAAATAGAAAAATCTTTCCTCATCAGCTCAGTGAACTGCATTTCCTTAGAACAGAAGTGATTGTTATGGTAATCTTCCGCTTAGCAAGCAGAGGAGAAAAGAGCTCTGGAGTATCAACCTACAAATCTTCACTTTGATGTTTATGACAGACCACATATTCCTGCAGACAACATTTGGATAGCCTCTCACCCTTTGCAGTTTACACATCATTCTGTATGCTTCCACCTTGTGTATTCCTGGAAGTTCTGGTACTAGAAGATGCAGCGAGAATTCTCACATTTCCCAAAAACACACACTAAATGCCAAGCATAAGCCTCAGGAGCACAATATGTTGTGTTGATTTTTTTTAAAAGGAAAACCTCACCTACCCAAAGGATTTCATTTTAGGAGGTTTTATACCCAGAAGTCTTATGCAAACCTCTCAAAGAAATCAAGCAGAAAGTACAAATCAAGCCTTCACCGCTAAAACTCAAACAGCTTTTTTCTTAGGACAGATTAATTCCCAAGTCTCAACACATCCACTGAGACAAAGTTGAGAGTTATTTTCTTCAGAAGAGGGAATTAAAGCAGAGAAGTAAAATACCCTAAACTAGAACTCTGCAGCAAGCTCCTGGGGGGAAAACGCCTGATTTATAAGAAACCAAGACTTACTATGTTCAGGCTGCTCATTTAAGAACAATGCTTTTTACCCAGGAGATAAGAGAGACAAATTCTGTGTGTATTAGTTCTGAATCTTCTTGCAAAGTCACTTGTCTACACTGCCATTCAACCGTCCCTTAGCTGATGGCAAATATTACTCTGCCACTTTCCTTTAAAGCCCGCAACCTCTTTGTTCCCATTACCCTCCTGCCAGTAGTTACCTTTGAATTCCATATTAGCAGCATCCTCCAAGAGCTCCTCTTTCATATTGCTAAGTGTCTCTATGATCATGTCCTTCATCTCCTCTTGTTTGCGGTTGGCAATGTTCATCAGAGACTCATAGAGTTCATTCTCCTTCTTGCGGGTATACTCCAGCCTCTTGGGGGTGATTTGCAGGTCCCTCTGCATGTCAAAAGCCTGATTGATGAAGATGTTCAGGCAGCGGCAGTGCACCTCATTTAAACTGGTAGCTGCTTCCACGAGATGCTTCTGAAGCACCTGTCTGGAAAAAGTGCTTAGGAGACGGAGCTTCTCAAACTGCTCCACCAGCATGCTTTGGGCATCAGCATCAGAAGCAGGTGCCCCACAGCTGCAGTGGTTGGTACTCAGGTACTCCAAGTCCATCAGCTGGCAGTAAAGGGAGGACTTTTCATTATCAATTTTTTTGGGAGAGATCAGGTCAATCCCCAACTCTGGCACTTTGAAGAAGAAAATGGGCAAAGAGAATTTCTCTTTGATTTCACGCAGTTCATTCTCATCCGATGAAGAAAGTTCAGCCTCGCTGATGGCAAAGATGACGACAGGCAAGACTTGGTTCACATACTCTCCCAAGGTGGCTTCAGCAGACTGGAATCCACGACATGGTGCTACCACAACATCCACTTCCTAGCAAGTGAGAAATTAAAAAAAATAGGTTTGTACAGATCCTTTTAAACTGCTACACGCAAAAGGGCGCTACAATTCACTCACAAAGTCCAAAACCAGAAACATTCAAACCCTTTAGAACAGTTACAGAGTCTCACATACAGCATCATGCTTTAGTATACAGCCTACCTGCAAGGCTGATGACAGCCCTCCCGCAGGGACACGAGCAGACATGGATTAGTGCCTGCTGACTCCAAAACTTATTTTTGTATCAAGTGTCTTTGAGTTTTAGCTTAGTTCAGAAAAAAACTTAGAACAGGTTTCCCAGGTAAGCGCTATCACTGTTATTCTTTAGCATATAGCTGCCCCGTTTTGCAACAACCTCTCCCATTGACATTTACCAGATCCGCAGCTCTTTCAGGGGCTATTCATGCTGTCAGTTTTCAGCGTAGCTTCCAACAGTCGGGAGTACTACACTAGCCACTGCTGCCAAAACAAAGGCAGCACAATAACCGATTCCAAAGGGTTCACACCCAAAGGACAGTCTAGGAGGAACAGATGGTTGTGACAAGCTTAATTATGACTTTCTTCAAATCCAACCAAAACCTAAGAGATGTATTTTATTTACTTATTTTCCTACTGCACAGGTTCACTGCTTTGGTCATATGCTTTTGCTGACACTCCTTACTAACCCTACTAAAAAGGGCCAGTTCTGAAACCTGCTTCCTTTCCTGCCAAGGAAGGAGACAGGATTCACCTTAGATATGTGAGACCAGTGTTAGAATTGCATATATCGCTCTACTAAAATAAGGAAAGAAAATGTCAAAGGCTTTAAACTGAAGACAGAATTTAAGTGTCATCTTCCCAACTCATAACAGGGGGCAATAATTAAGAATTCTTCAATCATTTTTCTCCACCAGAAAAATTAAAGACTTGACCACATCTCCTGACTGCTCTTCGAGCTAAGAGGAAGTCCTTGCTGCCAGGGGACTCACAGGCACTGAACTCAAACCTGCCCAATGCACGAGAGGTTGAGCAGAATGGGATGAGCAGTGCTGCAACACACACCAGGACGGATGACTCACGCCAGGACTGTAACAAAGGAGGAAGCCAGTGCTGTCTCTAGGAGACCGGGAGAAAACCAACACAGACAACCAAACACAGCATGAGCAACTGGTCCTCCTGTTTCCATAGAGGCCTCTCAGGCTTTTCCAAAGAGCATTTGGAAAAATGCTTGTCCCTCCTTTCTTTTTTTTTTTCCCCAAGTGTCCTACAGAAGTTTAATTACAGTCTATGTAGCTTCACGCTATTAGGGATCAGGTATTCCCCATACAGGAAGACTTACGACTCACACTGGATTCCTAAAATTTTTTAAGCTGGTTCTCACAAGGTCACATCGCTATAAACACACTTGAACCCTTCTGACAGAGCTCTAAGCATGAAATTGCTGTCAAGTAACTACATTCCTATTTTCCTTAACTAAAAGGCCCTTTTTAAAATATCAAAGCCTCCCGCTCAGCAATCTGAACATCAGGTACGCAAATATCAGAGCTACAGCTCTTCCACCTAAAATATGATGCGGAGGTACTGTCAGCAGCAATACAAGAGAGACAGTTTAAAGAGAATACTATGCAGACACATTATGTACTCATCTATGGATTCAGACTTGCAATGCCAGGAAGACCTGGCAGAAACAAAAATTAAAATCAAGGATCAAGCAGGTCTTGACCTACAATAAGACAAGTGGAGTCCCACTAAATGCATGCAGGGACCACTGAAATGTGCCATTTTACTAAGTCAACAGATAATTCCTCATTTCCAAATCAGCTAAAAATAGTTTATTTGCTACATCCAAAGAGGACCTCATCCTATTTTGCTAGGCTTTGGACAGTTTAATCACTGTTTGCTTAGTTAACTGAAATGCTGAGAAGCTAACCCAATTTAGTCACATTTTTACCCAAACTCCTACCAAGCAGATTATGATTGAAGGCCCAGCTCAGTCTTTTTCTAAGCCAATTTGAATACTCTGCCTTCCAAGAATAGTCTGTGAATCACTGAAGTCTGACAGTTACTGCATTTATTACATGTGATCTAATTTCATTGCCTCCCTATTAATCGGAGGTATGTATATACCCCTAGATTCTACTTAGCTTTTTAGTTGGTTTTTTGTGTGTGTGGTTTGTTTTTTTTGTTTGTTGGGTTTTGGGGTTTTGGTTTTTTTGCCTTTTGTGGGTTTGTTGTGGTGTTTTTTTGTTTTGGTTTGGTTTTTTTTGTTGTGGTTTTTGTTTGTTTGTTTTTTACCACACACACTTCCCCCCAGTTTTTCTGAAACCTTGCCAGTTTATGCTATTTCCATGGGGATCTGAGTCAGAAGTTCAATAACTCTAATCTAGAGAGAATCCCAGGTAAGAAAACTGAACGACACCTCTGGTCTCCAGCAAACACTGCTTGTCCTTTACAGAACTAATTGTTTAGATTTTGTACAATGACTCTGAACCCACTTCATCAGAGAATTTCATTTTACCTTTGCTGGAAGGGCCAGCTCAAGAAAGCCTGTAAGGTATACACACTCACGAAACAGTCTGAGAAGCAATGCTCTTTTTCTGACCATGAACTCTTCCCCTGTAAAAGATACATCACTAAGCCAACAAAACTAGAAATAGAGAACAGATTTCACATGGGTAGAAGAATAATTTCATGGTACTGGCATTTTCAGCATCTTCTACACTCAGTTATGTCAGTGTAAAGGGACAGAGGAAGACAACTTCAGGTATTTGATGCTGGTATGTGGCAGGAACACCTCAGCATACCCCAAAGTAAACCAATGCTACGTGGAAGGAAAAGTGTCTCGCCAACATGAAAGCTTTTCATTTTTTTTCTATTAATGCCACAACCAAACACATTAAAAATACTCTCAAGAAGGAGATCAGAGCATGTTCTTCTGAGTTTTAAGCAGGTTGTACCTTAAAATAACCACTCAATAGGTACTTAACCACATTCTTTGCTACATGTAACAACTACTAATTCATATGACCTGAACCACTGCTGTAGTACCTGAGGAAGTACAAAAATAAACCCAAACTAAATCAATTCTTCTGTTAGAGTTCATATAACCACCTTGTATTTCTTCATTCATTTTCCAGCTTTGTCAGAGCAGCTGAAAATTCTTCCTTCCCTACAAGCCCTGGCTAAAGTTTTTCAGCCCAAGACTCAGTGGCATGAAGAGCAAAACAAAACGAAGGCATGAAAAAGGAAATTTTCAGCTCTGTTACCCTCCTCCCATTCAGTTGTACCATCCAGAAGAAACCAAATATTTCAGAGAAGTCTGTTTCAGCTTCCAGGCACAACTGATAAGATTTAGGGAA